AACAATTGTGTCAAATATTGATAACCAACACTTAATTGAAAAAGACTGTTATATATATCTTATTTTGAAGTTAAAAATTATTAATTTTTAATTACGTCAATATTAATTTATTTTTCTTATTACTTATAATAATGTATATTTTTAAATTTTTGTTTCTAACTTATTAATTTATATGAAATTTTCAATGATATTGTGAATCACAATATGAATTAAAAAATAAATAATAAAAAGACCGGTTTGGTGCAGTTATTGATAGAATCAAATGATATTTTTGAACTCCTCGAATATATAATTTTTGGTATATATGACTCGTTACCAAATGATCGAATAGATTTGTTATTGAAGTTAATATATTAATTCTATTGTAGTATTGTGGTAGTTATATCAATAAAATTTTTACAATTGATTTTTAAATTTATTATGTACTTATATTTTGCAATGTTCTCAAGCATATTTAGGTCTGCATATGGTTGTATACCCAACAAAGCAGTAGAAAGCATGATTTGGTTATTGAGGATAAAGATTGTTTGGTTATTAAAGATAAATGGTCAAATTTCTTTTGATGGTGTGAAAAATTGTGTTTACAACTTTTAAAAAACTGAATCGATTGAGTTATTGATAAATCAAAGGATTTCAAAATAATTCTCTTGATTAAATGATTTTTGAATATGGTATATGGTTGGTTGCCAAATGAATAAGAAATCGTCGTGATTTGTTAGTAATGTTGATAAATATCTATTGAAACGTTGTGATAAATATCATAATAAAATTTTAACAACTGATTTCAGTTTTATTTTGTAATTGTATGTGCAATTTTATCATGCATATGAAATAATATTTTCTAGCAAAAACATATTGAATAGATGTTTTTTTAAGACATCTATACTTATATTAAAAAGTATACCATTTATCAGATTTAGTATAAAGAAAAGTCAACAACATTTATTGCATTACTATTTCCGTATTATATAATCTATACTTATATAAAAGGAGATTCTATTTACTACATTTACTATCCAGAAAAGTCAACTGCATTAATGCCATTACTATTTTGGTATTATAATATTTTATTTATTTAATTGATTTATTTATTTGTTTTATTTTAAAAAAATAAGTATAATAAAAAGATTTTAATAATAAAAAAATCAAATACCAAATAAAAATGTAAACTTTGACTTATTTGATTATATTTGGTATTTGATTATACCAAATATATTCCTATTTAGTATACACATTAAATACTTACTAAAGTATTTATTTGTTTTATTTGTCAAAGTTAAGTATAGATTTGTTTATATTATCAAATCATAAAAAAATATTAAATCCATATTGTAAAAAAAAAATCATATAATTTATAACAATTCTACTACATTATTTAACAATATTTCTTTTTTATTATATAATAAAATAATAATTAAATATTATATGGTGAACAGCAATAAGTAAAACTGTTACTTTCTCTTATATCAAGGAAAAAACTTATATGCTAAAATTAAATTTTTATTAGTATAAATGTTTTAGTAGATAATATATTAATTATTTTACAAGCTAGCCCTAACATGCTCTTATTTAATGTTTTAAAAGATGTAGAAAAAAAACTTATAATAACTCTATTGTTTTTAATTAAGACTTAAACATTGATTAAAAGAGGTAAAAATTCTTAATTTTTTAGACTTAAACGTTGATTAACATCATAGATTGAGAGTTTATATTTAGTAAAATTCCTAATTGTAATAAAAAAATTAATTTTTGCTATATTTGAGAATATCTTTAAATTCATTATAAAAAAAGAAAGAAAAAAAAAACTACAATGAAAAAAGCAAGTCAGCTATTTGTTGTACTCCTCAAATCACATTCACAATTTGGCTACAAGGAAAGGAAACTCATTGATTAAAATATTATTTTGTCAATAGTCTTAATGTACAAGAGACTTTAAGACTCCACTTGAATATTATAAAACTTTTATTGAACATTGTACAATTTTTTTGCATATTATAAACTTTTATTGAATATTGCATATTATAATATAATATTCTCCAAATAAATATATCTCGTGCTTCGCATGGGTCACGTACTATATATATCCCGTACATTTTTCTTGATTCATGTATATAATTATAAACCTGGATAAATAACCTTAAAATTGTGCACCCCGTGCATTGCACGGGCTCTGTATTAGTGTTGTATGATTGATTACCAAAAAAAAAAAATTCCAGTAATTCGTAATTAATACGAAGAATCGAATTTTTTTGACGATAAATATCGCAAACTAATTTTCAAAATTGATACCACTTTATTTATGTAAAGTCATTCTATTAACCTAATTACACTATTTACAACATTGATAGCACTTTATTTATATAGAAAGGCGTTCTATTAACCTAATTACACGATTTACAACATGTAGGTATAATTTGATTTTCATTTTATTATTTATAAATATTAAAATAATTCTATTATCCTAATTACACGATTTAAACCATGTAGGTATAATTTGATTTTTATTTTATTATTTATAAATATTAAAATAATTCTAATAACCTAATTACACGATTTACAACATGTATGTATAATTTGATTTTTATTTTATTATTTATAAATATTAAAATAATTTTTAAACAAATCTGTAGACCATAAATGAGTTAAAATTTCCTAAACAAATTTGCAATCACATGAAAAAAGGATCTCATGTAAATTTGAATTTCAAATCGAATTTCTACCGTAACATTAAAAAAATTGATCTGGATTTCAAATTGGATTTCCAAACTAATGTGTGGACCATAAATGATTTTAAATCTTCAAATCCATTTTTTTAAGCACGTGATCACAAAATATAAATTTCCAACATCATTTCCATAATTGGTAAATTAAATGTTTGACTCATTTTTTTTAGCTTTCCTCAATTGATTTTACCATCAACCTCTTTCAATATATATAGATTAGGAAAAATCAATTATGTTCCTTAAAAAATGCCTCTACAAAAAAGTGCATGTGAAAATATATCAAAATGAACTACTTTAAGTTCAAATATATTTGTGGTGACTTCTAATATAGTTGGCCCAAAAAAAAAACAATGAAAAGTTCAACGATGTTATTATATAGCGATATCTAAATATAAAAATTAATAAGAATAACTATGAAGGTGTGTTTTTGTATTAATACTTTTGTAACGATGGATATATATAAACCCTCACTCCTTTTATGACCTATTTCCGCCCCTAGGTTCACAATAACTTTATATATTCAATTAACGTTTATGTTAATATTACCAGCTCAGCAAGTAAAGCATGCTCATAACAATTAACAAGGTACGAGCACATCCATTGCAGCAATGGTCTCTTCATCGACTTAGAGATATGGAATTAATGTAGAATGGTAACATGCATCATGCGAAGTACACATGCACACAGTGGCGAAACCACATTGAGGGCCGGAGTGGCGCCGGCCCTCCTAAAAAAAAAAAAATTGGAGATTTTGGTGAGAGGTTGAGGCAATCGAAGGGGCTGGAAATGGAAGGGCGCCCTTTGAGCGCCCTTCCGATGCCGCCGGAGGCTCGGAAGAAGATGAATCTGAGCCCTCCCCGTGCTGGGATCCTGGTTTCGCCACTGCATGCACACCTTTATTAGGGAAAATAATGCTTTGATTGCTTTAATAACTCAAACCATAAACTACTTATTACTCAAAACTGATGACTAAAACATCATTAAGATAAGTTATAACATCACTTGAAAATACTAAATATAAAATTAAAATCTTCGATATGGCTCATCCCAACAACAACATTTTCCCAAACATCACCCTGTAATCGAAGGAACAAATTAAAGTCAGATACAAACAGTTTCTCTGAGTTAAGGCATGAAATATAATCCCCTATATATAATACAAATTTAGAACCCATTAGAACCAAAGTGGCAGATTCGCACGTTTCGAAATCCTACGTGGCAAAACAGCTCGTTCGTAAAATGGCTCTCATAAAATATAGTCAAGGATATTAGAGAGTTAATTAGGAGAAAATCGATGTACCCTAGCAGGGGCGGATCTAGAAAATTTATTTGGGGGGACGAAATAATTTTCAATAATGACATACTTCATTAAAAAGACAAAGTTTTATTTTTAGAATAGAAAAAGGAAAAAAATAGTTCAAAAAATACATACCGTTCAAACTTTGTGACTATTAGAATTGTGCTCGACGTTCTCTCAAGCCACGAAACTCATCGATGATTGACTTGGTAGTAATGGATCTTGTAATTTCTCTTTCAACAAAGATAGTCAAAGAATTTACAAGAAAGTCATCTTCTATTTTACTTCGGAGTTTGGATTTAACGATAGTTGTAGCCGAAAATGCACGCTCTGTGGTCGCCGTAGACACAGGAAGAGTAAGAATCAACCTTATTATAAAATAGTATAAGCCTATATATTAATATATGATTAATAAATAAGAAACTGATATAAGCCTATATATGATCCATTTGTTCTTGACAAATGATACATCTCTTCTACATTTTTTTTATCAAATTGTCCAAACTAGAGAGAATGAATTAAGACATTTAAGAATGATGAATAAATAAACATATTGAGTGCTAGTTTTAAACCCTAAATCCCTAAAAAAGATAAATAAATCAAATTATGAACATGAACATAAATTAAAGTACTCACAAATATAAAAAGATGATCAAAATAGTCAAGGAATTGTTGTTGGACTTGTTTTGTGATATTTTTTTTTAACTTGTTGTACCCTTTTTTCATTAATAAATAAATAATATAGTATAATATAAAAGGTGGAGTTGGGCTTTATGGGATTTTTTAAATATATCTCTAATAGACTTGACATGTCTTAGTACACTTGATCAAAATAAATAAATCATTAGTTGGTTAGGGGGGACAATAATAAATAAATATACTTAATCTAATATAATAGATATATATTTAGGTGAAAAAACACAAAAGTTTGGGGAGGACCATGGCCCCCCCTAAACTATATGTCCGTCCGCCCCTGTACCCTAGTGACGTCCGAGGATCTCGTTTCTTGTCTTGCTCCCAATGTCAACATAGTTTCTAATTCCTCCGAGATACTCGGCGGTCTCTATAAACTCGTGTGTGTACTCATCGTCAAGGTCTTCGAGGCCTCTGTCGTCCTTGAGTCGTGCATGCGCCTCGTCAACTGTCTCGCCATCGGCCATAAAATCAGCCAACCATATCGCGTAGGCCTGGTCTCGCGCCTCGTTCAACCTATGCTTGTATTCGTCCCTCTGACGATCTTGAAGGGGGCGTATAATGTCCTCCCAATGGTGGCACACGAGCTTGAAGCGCTCGAGATCCTCCTTCGACAAACGGTGAAGAATCTCTTCAAGGATCTCGTCCGGTAGGGTTCGGTTAGGAGGGACTGGAGAAGAAGAAGAAGACATTTTTTTTTCCTTTTTTTCTAATAAACCTTTGGCTTTGATGAAATGAATATGTTTTATGCCTGGATTTATAGTATAAGTGGTCAAAATTTTGTTAAAACAAATTACCTACTCCTCATATCATGCAGACTATATTTCTCAACGTTCTTTTGTATTATGTCTCCAGTCATATGGTACACAACACAAGTTCAAAATAAATGACTAACTATATATGCATTTGACGTTCATGAAAGGGCATGAGTGGGAAAGTCTAAAAACTGATATAGAAGAGGGGGATTTACGGATACAAGTAGGTCTTCATCGGCCAAGCTGGCATACATACGTTTAGTTGTTTTAGTAAATTTTTTATCAAACCAAAATATATCATAAATATCTTCCCAACTCTATTAATTCATAACGTGTTGAGTCTAAATGGCAGACTCGCATGTTTTCGGATCCTATGCGGCAAAATTACATGCTTCATTATTAGGCTCCGTAGATTTTGATTTATTTTCAATCCAAAAAATGTTTAAGTCCGGATTATCCATAAATATGTTGATTATTTATCGTCATGTTACATTTATTAATTATATTTTAATATCATTTCTTATTATAACCATTTAATTGTAAATGTATTTTAAAAGTTAATAACTTTTGCATTTTGTAACAGTTTTACATATATAATATATCAAATTAATCATCTTTTGATGATTTTCGATTTAACATCCATATTGTATGTATAAAAAAATAAATTATATTCATCTTTATAACAATAATAAATTTATTTTTTAATATTAATTAGAAAAATATAAGTTATAAAAATTATTATAATATAACACATGTAAGTCGCACAAGTAACAAGTGCAATTCTAAAATATATAATAATATATATTTTTTATAAAAAAGTAGATAAAATTTAAAATAATTTTTCTCATTAATTTTTTAACAAACACATGTGTAATACACGTGGATTATACTAGTCAACGTATTAAACCTAAAATTGAAACAACTTAGTGAACCTAAATAAAAAAAAGTGGTCAACTTAGATAATCAAAATTGGCACTTTAGGGTATATCTTAAATTTTATCACTCCATACCAAAAGTAATCTCATAAATGAGGAGGATTAGTGTACGAAAAGTGGAGAAATTGACAACAAATTAAATTAGTATATCAAGAAAAATGTTATATTGTCAACCTAGTGTACTGTGTACAACTAGGTTAACAACACAAGTAATGCGTATTTTTTTATTTTTATTTATATGGATGTTTTTTTACTTGTGAGGTCAACTAGTTGTACACTAAGTTGATTATGTATCACTAGTGTGTATCCCGTGCGCTGCACGGAGGGGTTTTTACTTAAAACCTTTTCTAAGACTTTATATTATACATAGTTATTTATGTTTAACATCTTATTATTATAAAAAAAGAAATACTAAATATGAAAAATTATATATTATTTATTTGAATATAATGAGTGTCCCAACCAAACTAATAACATCCAACATATGATATATGATAAAATTAATTATATGATCGTCATACTTTTTGAAAAAATATACATATATTTCTAATAAACATGTAAGATCCGCATTTAAATTTGTATTTGGATATGGGATGAAAAATGAATATGTACAAATAAAAAAGTACCAAGAACCTACATAAAATGAGATTCTTTATAAACTTTAAAATATTTTGTAGTTAAGCAAATATTAACAAACAAAATCATCAATTAAGTTGAACTTATCGAATATAAAATATAATTTATGATATCATTGACCATATTTTTATGAATTAGGGTTTACAAAATATCTTTTTCAAAATAACAATTTTTTTTAATTTGAATTTGACTTTTTCATCCAACCGCCATTTTTCACAAGAATAAAAATAGTATTTTGGAAAATTTTAGACGTGAAATCAAATAAATTTAATTTAATAGTAATCGATTAATTTAATATTATTCAAAATAGTTTAATTCGGTCAACCCGATCTTAGTGCACGTTTCATTGAAACAATCGCTTACCAAAAAAAAAGGTAATCGCTTACAAAAAAAGGAAGTGAAATCTATCTATATAATATAAATCAGATTTGAAAAAAAAAGGAAATGAAATTTCATAATTAATTAACTTAAATTGATGTTATTCGATTTATATCAACTCCCTTCCAAAAAAAAAGGAAATATCCGATTCCTACCAAATCGATTAAAAAAAAAAAGATTTATGATATACGTCCAAATAAATTACAATTGAAATGTAGGCGGGATTATGAAAAAAAAATAAAAAAAACTTTACCGAATGTTTGAAAAAAAAAATCGGATTAAAAAAAATTAAAAGGAAAAAATTCAAAACGTGAAATTAAAATTAAAAACGTGAATTAAAATTAAAAAAATTAAAAATACAAAATTTACCAAATCTCAACCCATAAAAAAAAAAGGAAAATCGAGTGAAATAAAACGTGAAAAAAAAGGAAAAGCGAGTGAATTAAAAATGTACCAAATCGGATTTTAAAAAAATGGTAACAAATCTCATCTCATCCTAAAGAAAAGGAATTATAACAAATTTAACAAAAAAACAACCAAATCTTATTCTAAAATAAAACAATCCTATTTCCATAAATCACATCCAAAATCAAATTAAGTTAGGCGGGATAAATGAAAAAAATTCAAAAAGAGTTTCCAAAACAGGTAATTTTCGAAAAATTTGAGAGGGAAAAAATGATGTTTAAGCGGGAAATGAAATATTTATTCAAATATTTATTCAAACATTTTTCCTTCTCCGTATTATATAGTAATAGATTTTTCATTTCAAAAAGTGATTGGACTAAAATTAAAATTTTACCTAAATAAGAGGGTGGGTAAAAGAAAGGTGGACTATTCAGGATGGGTTTGCCAAACAAAATTCACGATCTACCCGCGAAACCCTAATCTTATTTCTTTTAGAACAAATTTCTTCGGTCATCGGCGAAACAATGCCGTGCGATTTACCTGTGGATTTACCGGCGGCTATGGAGGACCTAAGCGTAGAACAATTTTCGCAGTGTGTACCGATCAGGGCTATTTTCAGCCGGCCGGACAAGGGCAAGGGTTTGGCCGGCCTGAAAATTACCATCGGCGGGTGGGTGAGGAGCGGCCGGGTGGCGGGTGGCGGCGCATTCGCCTTTCTGGAGGTGAACGACGGGTCGTGTCCGGCGACTCTTCAGGTGATGGTGAAGGCGAGTGACGACTGCAAGCTGCGAGACGTGGTGCTGACGGGAACATCCATCCATGCTGAGGGCTTTCTCAAGCTGCCGCCGGAGGGTACGAAGCAAGGTATCGAGATGGAGGTGGAGAGGGTTATCAACGTCGGGGCCGTGATTAACGCCGCCAAGTACCCGTTGCCCAAGACCAAGTCCAAGCTGCCCCTCGAATCTATCAGGGATCACGTGCACCTTCGCCCTAGGGCCGCAATTGTACAGTTCGCCTTCTCTCGATGATGCTTAATTATTAGTTTGATTGTTTTTTTTTTCTTTGTATGTGCTCTGACTATCTATCTGTCTAGGGTAGATCAATTATGTGTTTATAGGCTTACATTCATACATAACATTGTCCTCTATTCGAAGTTCTGATGATTTTAGATGGAGTAGCTGTAGCTCATTCTTTTAATAGTTTCTAGTGGCACTTCTTGTTCAGACGGTTTTCACATATAATGCGCATAAGGATCAAGAATTGATACTTACAATATCAGAAAGACTTCTATTCAAGATCAGTTTTTTGTTTACCTTTCTGCTCACTCGATCAGAGTTTTTCTTTATAATTCTTTTGAATTCACGATTGCTAATTGTTGTTTAATGTAGGCCGACTGAATTTTGTTAGATAACATTTTTGTCGTATATGTTGCTGTTCATGTTTGAAGCTGATATGGTTGATGTTGACCCACAAATACATGATATAGTGTGTCTCTGTGTTTGTACTTGGAGACATGTTATATGGTTTTTTTCTCTAATCTCTCATCTTTTCTCAATGTTGTTGAGTCTAGATATCTTCAGTTGCTAGAATACGTAATGCGCTGGCATATGCTACCCACACGTTCTTCCAAAAGCACGGTTTCCTTTACGTGCAGACTCCAATTATCACAACCAGTGATTGTGAAGGCGCAGGGGAGATGTTTCAGGTCACAACACTACTAAGTGATGCCGAAAGAATAGACAAGGAGTTTAAAGCGAGTCCTCCTCCCTCAGAAGCTGACTTAAAAGCTGCCGAGCTTGCCATCAAGGAAAAAGGGGCAGATGTTGCCCAGCTCAAATCTGCCAAGGCGAGCAAGGACGAAATTGGTACCGCTGTTTCTGAGCTCAATAAGGCGAAAGATGTATTCTCGAAGCTTGAACAGAGGTACAAGCTGGGAGAGAGGCTTAGGGCTTCTGGTGGCATTCCAAAGAAGGATGGCAAGATCGATTATGCAGAAGATTTTTTCGCCAGGCAAGCATTTCTGACCGTGTCTGGGCAACTACAAGTTGAAACATATGCTTGTGCATTGAGAAGGGTGTATACGTTTGGGCCAACGTTTCGAGCTGAAAACTCACACACTTCGAGGCATCTTGCAGAGTTTTGGATGGTTGAACCTGAAATAGCATTTGCTGATATACAGGTATGCGCATGCGAGCATGCCACTTGTAGAATTAGCTGCAGTTGCATTTTTTGAGTAGATTAAAGGGAGGGAAGTGGAGTTAATGTTTCCTAATTAGACCTGCTTGATATAAATTATGATATTAGAACAACCAGTTATGATTTCAATCACACACAGACACACATAAAAGAAGGTAGGAGAAGAACAAGAAAAAGTTGGGAGAGTAAAAGAATGAAAAGAAAAGGTCAATCAATATGCAATATAGAGGACGTTCTATGATTTTCCATCTTCTGTATAAAATATCCCTTTCTAGCATGAGATAACATGATTTAAAAAACATCAATTTGTAGGATAACATGAATTGTGCAGAGGCATATGTGAAATTTCTTTGTAAGTGGTTGCTCGACAATTGCTCGGATGACATGGAGATCATAACCAAAGCTATTGACAGCTCTGCTGTACAACGTCTTAAAATGGTTGCTGATTCCACGTTCCGTAGAATAACATACACCGAGGCAATCACCATTCTTGAGGAAGCAGCTAAAGTTAAGAAGTTTGACAACAAAGTGGAATGGGGTATTGATTTAGCATCCGAGCATGAAAGGTAAAAATTTTGCGGATTTCGGATTTACAATTGATTGATTGGCCTGCATGAATGTTACTTTTTACATGACTTGAAAGGGCTCTTGCTTATTATCCTGTCACTTTCGTGAATATAGATTCTTGACTGAGGAGAAATTCAAAGAACCTGTTATTGTGTATAACTACCCAAAAGCAATCAAAGCATTCTATATGAAAGTGAATGAAGACAAATCCACCGTTGCTGCAATGGACGTGCTTGTACCTAAGGTTCTCTCTCTCTCTCTCTCTCTCATACACACACAGTTAGTGTGTGCATACATTTTTGTTTTAATTTCTAGTTTTTCCATCAATTGTTCGATAAAACTTGCGATGAGCGTTTCCACCAAATATGATTTCAATTTGGTGGTTGTTAGGTGGGAGAACTTATTGGCGGCAGCCAAAGAGAAGAGAATTACGAGGTGCTGAAGCAGAGGTAAGCAAAGCTTTTGACTATTATACTATTCGTCTCTCCATATATATATATATATATATACATTTGAAAAACAAAACTTGTTGATATATATAAATTGTTTCAAGGATTCTGGATATGGGCCTGCCCCTGGAATCTTACGACTGGTATCTGGACCTGAGAGCCTATGGAACTGTGAAGCATAGCGGTTTTGGGCTCGGTTTTGAGAGGATGATCCTCTTTGCAACCGGGATCGACAACATCAGGGATGTAATCCCTTTCCCCAGATATCCTGGTAGAGCTGATCTTTAAAATCTTACCCAATTATTAATTGATCTTTTAGGAACAAGGTCTTGTGAAGATGTATGGTATGTCTTGCCTTGTGGATTGTTTTCATTTAGTGCCCAATTTGTTTTTAAGAAAAGAAATAGTAAATAATTTATCAACAATATGCTTTGCTTGCTGTTGAGCTGCTATCCTATCAGGCTAATAGGTTTTCGATTTTACTGTCTATTGATTAAATTATTTCATTGTTATCTAAAATAATAATAATAAAAAAAAAGAGCATTTGAACCTCATTTCCATGCACACGTATTAATTAACAACAAAACAACCATAAATCATACAATAAAGATAGGTTTTGATTTTTTATATAGCGGATATGCAATATATTATAATATTAACTAAATTATGATAATAATAATTATGCTAATACTATTACAGTTGTTATTAATATATATTATATTTTGGAAAATATTTGCTTTGGTCATATAAATTTATATATTTTATATGATATTCTTGTGACTTATTTAGGATGATAAATGTAAATAATTTTATTAATATTTTTATCACTTTTGTCTTGACCTCGTGCTAGGCTCAGTTGTCGTCTAGCAAGCGGCTATCGTCTTTTAAGGGTGTGTTTGTTAAAGGAAAAAATTCAAACCAAATTAATTTTACTCAAAATCTAATTCAACTTTAACTCAACCCCACTATTTTCAATATTATCAATATAAATAAATAATAACAATTAATTATTAAATAATAACAACCAATCATTTTTGCACATAATATCAACTTTAATTCACTATTCATCCACTCACATAATTTTAACTAACCATCACTTCGTATCATTTCTCTCCTACTTTTACATCAAACCAATTTTAATTATTTTATTTCAAATATTATTTTAATATAAACTAAAAATTCTACTAACAACTAACTACATCACTCTTTTTAACTTAATCCTAATTAACTAAAATAAACTCACTTTAAGTTAATTCACTCAAATTATTTCTTTAACAATCACACCCTAAAACATTATGAATAAATATGTACTTTCGCGTTCTTTCGCTTACCCGTTTCTTTTTATTGATTGTGTATAATGAACAAAAAAATCCAATTTGTCACGCAACAAACAACTCTGATATGTATGAGAAGGTTTTAAATTTGTTCACATTAATTTGTTATCATATTTGTTTGAGAAAAAATACAAAATAAATATTAAGTTGAAATATAATTAATGTTGTTAATTGAACAAATATTTATAATCCCATGAGCCTTTTACCTCCCAGCGGCATTGCTCCATCAGACTTTTGCGCCAATTGCAAAATAGATGGGAGTTTAACTCCAAAAAGAAGCATTCCGTGAAGTCTCCAATCATTGTATTCTTAAAAATGTAAAAAAATACTACAAAGCTATTGTCAATAATTAGATAAAAGATTTGTGTTTTTCAATGTATTCTGAGAGAGTTTATAATATTAAGAATGATCATAATTTGTCTATCTATTTATTCATGAGCATAGTAAAATGCCAACTGAATGCACCCATCATATATTAGTGTAAAACAAAATTTGATTTTATATGTCAGTTTTGTATACATCATTTGTACGAATTGTATTGATGAATAAAAAAAAAAAAATTAATATTTTATTTTGATGAAAGGGTGAGATAAAAAATTATAAATATCATATAAAGAGTATATGTACATATACATATATTATATATAACCATTCAATTGATAAAAAAAAATGTAAGAAAACTATGAAAAAAATACAAATTAAATAATTAATATACTCAACTACCATGATTAAATATAACAACATCAAGCAATAAATGAAACAACATCATATCAAAATAATAAAAAATATTATCTTATGTATAATATTATTTAGTAAATAATAATACTAATAATAATAATAATAACAATAATAATATAAAAAATTACAAAAATAATTTCACGAATAATTTGTTGTATAATTTTTAATTATTTTTGTCTCATGTTTTCTATTAATTAAGGTTTTTTTTAAATGTTATTTGTACTATAACCAGTGTGTGGCACACGCACCAAAAAAAAAGATGATAATTAGGGAGGAAATGCAGGATAGAGAACCGCAGAAGCGTGTCCCAAAATCGCAATTCCGCAATGCCGAAAATTTCCCAATTTCAGCCCTAGAAAATGAAAATTGACCTGATTTTAACCTCAACAGTAGTTTTCGCAAACTACCCTTTATAAGAAGCGAAAAAAATATATTAAGAAGTCTCTAAAGGAAACGGCTTTACCTCGATTCTTACTTCCAACTACTGTAAGCAATACACACCTATTGATACGTATACTGGAAGATAAACGATCAGAGGTATAGATACCTAGTTGAAGGGTAAGCCAGAAGCCATATTGTGTGATTTGCAGTATTCCATTTTCTTGAATTGTTGATCGCTGTCAATTGCAGTGTAACTGAAGTTAATCTTATCTTTCATTTACTCCTTTTCTTGAATATTTGTTCATTACGCTTTACTTAATTGTACTTTGTTGGAGATGAGATAGTTGAGAACAAATGATGGGGAGAGGGAAAACGAGGAAAGTTGAAAAAGGGGCTCTTGGGATGAGCCCTGGTGAGGATTTATCAATCGATTGCGGCCCGCGTAATGTGCCTGCAGGCCCAGTGTATTACCCGAGTGAGGAGGAATTTAAGGACCCTTTGGAGTATATATACAAGATCCGGCCAGAAGCCGAACCTTATGGAATTTGTAAAATTGTTCCTCCGCCAAATTGGAAGCCCCCTTTTGCATTGGATGTTGACTCGTTCAAGTTCCCCACGAAATCTCAGGCGATTCACCAGCTTCAGGCACGTTGTGCGCCCTGTGATCCCAAGACTTTTAGATTAGAGTACAATCGGTTCTTGGAAGAAGAGTGTGGTAGGAAGGCCAAGAAGCGTGTTTTGTTCGAGGGGGAGGATTTGGACCTGTGTAAGTTGTTTAATGCGGTGAAGAGATTCGGAGGATACAACAGTGTCGTCAAGAAGAAGAAGTGGGCCGAAGTTTTTAGGTTCATACGACCTGGAAAGAAGATATCCGAGTGTTCAAGGCACGTCCTGTCTCAATTGTACTGCGAGCACTTGTCTGACTATGAAGATTATTATTGTCGGTTGAACCAAGAGAAGGGCAAGGATTGCGAGCTTGATACGAGTGGACGGAAAAAGTGTGAACCGGAGGTTGAGGTTCCAAGTGTTAAGAGAAGGCGGAAAAACAAAGAGGGTGAGAGGATCGAAGTGCGTAATAAAGTAGAGGAACAACAGGTCGATCAAATATGCGAGCAGTGTAGAAGTGGCTTGCATGGGGAAGTTATGTTGTTGTGCGATAGGTGTAATAAAGGCTGGCATATTCACTGCCTGTCTCCACCATTGAAGTGTATTCCTCCAGGGAACTGGTATTGCCTAGAGTGCTTGAATTCCGAGAAGGAAAGTTTCGGTTTTGTCCCGGGAAAGCATTACTCAGTCGAGGCTTTCAGACGTGTGGCTGATCGGGTGAAAAAGAAGTGGTTTGGGTCGGCTGCTGCTTCATTGGAGCAGATGGAAAAGAAGTTCTGGGAAATTGTGGAAGGCTCTGCTGGGGAGGTTGAAGTTATGTATGGTAGTGATTTGGATACTTCTGTTTATGGGAGTGGTTTTCCTCGTGAAGGTGATCAAAGGCTTGCATCAGTTGAAGCTGATGTTTGGAATGAATATTGCAGTAGCCCGTGGAATCTCAATAACTTACCTAGGTTGCAAGGTTCAATGCTTAGAGCTGTGCACCAGAACATTGCAGGTGTAATGGTGCCTTGGCTTTATATAGGGATGCTGTTCTCTTCATTTTGCTGGCACTTTGAGGATCATTGCTTTTACTCAATGAATTATCTTCACTGGTATGTAATGTCATGGATATGTTATTTTTGCCTGTATCATTTTGTAGGTGCTATATTTGTATTCTCGTTTTATATTACACTCAATTACATGTTATATGATGGAATAAAGGAATAATTAGAAAGATTTTTCATGCACGGTATTACAGTCAGTTATTTGTGCAATTGAGGGAATATATTCAGTTGGTTTTTGTACATTATAAAGGAGAGGGAAAAATGTCGTTCAAATCACTCGAACATCATCTTAGTTTACGAAGTTATTGCAGGATGGCCTCTTCAAGTGTCACACATGTAAAAGAATCCTTGAGACATCTTGGCAGTTTGTTCTCATGTCTGAAGTGCTTTTTCCTATCAGTCAATCTGTTTAATAGTTGATTCTGCTTTTAACGTATGGTTTACTGTGATGTACTCGTATTCTTAGTTACACTAAGGTTGTGTTCCATGTTTGGGAAATGCAAGAAAAGTTGTGCTTCTTACAGTTACAACGTCATATTAGTAGTGTTCTGGTCAGCTGAACTGAATAATTTAACGGGTTTGATGAAATTCTCTTCTCATCCCGCTGATGATTTTTTTTCGCTTGGTTGTAACTTGTACTTAGTTTCTCTTTTCTCTACCCTCACGAGCATTCTGTTGGTTGGTAGGTTCAATAGTTTGATATATCTAACTAGACTTACTATTTTCCCTGTCCTTTCAGGGGAGAGCCAAAGTACTGGTACAGTGTCCCTGGTAACGAGGCCGACGCTTTTGAAAAGGTATAGCTATTGAATTTGATGCTCATCTTTCTGTTGTGCTTAGAGAACACAATTATGTAGGCAAGCTTAAGATCCGTAAAAAGTACATCTGAAAAGAATAAAAAATGCAGAGGGAAGTTACAAGATAAATTCTGTCAAAAAAAAAAAAAAATGTCTGTTTGGTTTATTATTGTGTATATTGCGAGCACCAGAACAGGTATTGCTTTGTCCAAGGGTGGGGCGAATATGTGATTGTTATCCTTTTGTATTCATTGACGGCTTAATGTCATGTTTGGATGTGTGATTAGTTTTCTATTTTCCTTACTTTTTTATCTAGCATGTGGGACTACAATTTTTCTGTTTTGATGCCTTCATTTAAACTGCTTCTTCTATCATCTCCATCATCAAATCAATTATTATTATAACTGTTATTATATTATTCCATTAAATGTTTTTATATCTTATCCCAAGCTGTTCTTCAGGTGTTGGCCCTTGTTATTTTTCTTCATTTCAATGTTATTGCAATGCTTATTTGTTTCTGAAACTACATATTCGTGCATTGGAATATAAGTGGAGAAATCTATGTGCCATAATTTTCTTCCCGATTCCGTTGGCATTTTCGTGCTCAACGGTTTTTACCTTCCTGCAGGTAATGCGAAGTAGTCTGCCTGATTTGTTTGAGGCTCAGCCAGACCTGTTGTTTCAACTTGTCACAATGCTGAACCCCTCTGTTTTGCAAGAGAAAGGAGTCCCGGTTTACAGCATTATTCAGGTATGCTGAACTTCTTCCTTAATTCAAAAAAATTGATGCTTTTCGGTTTTCAGTACGGAGAATTAGTGAAAATGCGTTTACAGTGCTGTGTAATCTCTTTTATCATGGCAGGAGCCCGGAAACTTTGTAATTACTTTTCCCCATTCTTATCATGGAGGCTTCAACTTGGGTAAGACGAGAATGGTCTATTTTTTGTTGCCCCTGTAGGGTTAAGTCTAAGTGTTAATAGTGGTGCATTAATTATATTGCACAAATTTACCTCTTTTGCATGTATACATTGCGAATTTTGATTATTGCAGGCTTGAACTGTGCTGAGGCTGTCAATTTTGCCCCTGCTGATTGGTTACCTCATGGTGGTTTTGGAGCTGAGCTTTACCGGCATTATCGTAAAGTGCCTGTTCTATCTCATGAGGAGCTTCTATGTGAGGTGGCGAAGGTTATCATTTATCCTCTGGTTGTTTTTGCCTCATCTTTATATTTTCTGCCCATATTTGTGTGTATAAACGTGGGGAGCCACAGCGGCTGCCAGTCTCCATCTGAAGATAAAGCAGTCGTTATGAAATGGATTTTTTTTTTTTTTTTNCGTCAAGTTGCTTATTTTTTAATGAAGTGTTTGTTATTTCATAATTTGTTATCTGCTCTTAAGTTTTACACTCCTCACAATGATGCTGTTGCGATATGGAAATTGTATCATGACTTAAGGTATCCTCCTACTTGTGATGTGCGAATATTGTAGTAATGGCCTCTTTTCATGACTCTCTCTCTCTCGTTTATCCAGTTTAATATGAATTATGACTTTCTAATCTCAATTTCAAAAACTGCACCAGAAAATAATGTGTTAACTTGGTCATATTTGTGAATTTTGTGTTCACATTACTCTTGTCTTACTGTTTTAAGTTTTTGAACTTTAGCTGTTGTGCAACTTTGCAGACTGAACTAGACATAAGAGTATCATCATACTTAAAGAAAGAGTTGCTTAGGATATACAACAATGAGAAAACTTGGAGGGAGCAGCTGTGGAGATGTGGCATCATTAGATCTTCTCCCATGATTCCTCGAGCAAAGCCTGAGTATGTTGGTACTGAAGAGGTATATTTTAAACCACTGGTGAATTTTCCAAAAATTAAAATTGTAGTCCCAGTGTGAGATTTTTCTTTCTGATGACTGGTATCACTTTTGTCTTTGAAGGATCCAATGTGCGTCATCTGCCGACAGTTGTTATATCTCTCTGCTGTTTCTTGCAGCTGTAGACCATCTACATACGCGTGTCTAGAGGTGAGTGGTTCCAATAAGAAAGGAACTTAGCTCATATGTTTGTAGGGCGTGTTTGGATACAAATATATCAGCTCAAAACGAGTTTTTCTTGTTAACTAAACTTAATTTTGAAAAAGTTTGTATGGTTAGTTATTAGTGGATTTTGAGTTTATATTAAAATAATATTTAAAAATAAAATAGTTAAAGTTGATTTGATGTAAAAGTAGGAGAGAGATGATGTGAGGTGATAGTTAAAATTATGTTAGTGGATGAATAATGAATTAAAATTGATGTGAATGATTGTTGGTATTATTTAATTATATTGATAATATTGAGGATAGTGAGGTTAAGTTAAAGTTGAGTTAGATTTTGAGTATGGATTATGAATTGGAAAAATTTATAAACAAACACCCCCTTAGTATTCAGTTGCATCTGTATATATTACTTGATGTGGTCTTCATGACCCCAACTATGGACATAATGTTGGGACACTTGGGAGCCCAACACCAAAACCCTTATACCCAAAGTACATATACCTGCGAGTCAAAGTTTATAGAAATTAACAGTTTGTATTTTTGTTATAATGATCGGCAAGATGATCTGAGCATTTGAACATTGTGTTTTTAGTTTTACTATAATTCAATAGTAACTGCTAATTCTCACAGCATGAATGGTTTAGCTTTCGCTTATCTTTAGCTAATTTTTATTGAGTGATCCAATTTGATTCCTTTATAGCCTTACCAGCATGAACTTTATTGGGCCAAAATATTTTATTTTACCATCAAGCAGCAGAATTCACCCGCTTTTCTCGCAGCACTGGGAGCATCTCTGTGAGTGCAAGCCAAACAAACTCTGTCTTCTGTACCGTCATACTCTGGCAGAATTGACTGATTTGCTGTTCAAGGCCGATAATCATGGTTCTGTTGAAGCTCTTGGTAGTACAGAAAAGGATACGTCGTCAAGAAAAGCAGTAGCATTGACAAAAAAGGTTTATAATATTCTTATTCATAGTTATGTGATCAAACAGAATTTTTGTTTTCTTTAAACTTAATTCTTTGCATCGGAAACCTTAGTTTACTTCTGTAAGTTTTTATGTCTTCCTGTTCCAAGTATGGCTGACTATGCATAATTTGTCTAGACTTTAGATGTTGTAGCCTTTCTGACTGAATTTATCAACCTTTATGCCTAGTTTGATAGTTCATTCCCCCTTAATTTATCAACCTTTTGTTCTGCATATGGATTACGGGTACTCCTTTTTTCTATTTAGAATGTGAAGTTACTGTCAGCATGATATGTTTTACTGGAGGTCTCAATTTCAATGTGACTCTTGTTGAGAGTAAAATATGGTATTTAGTAATTGTTCTGTTCCTTGTCAAGAAGCTCAGAACTAATGGGTACAGTACATTCTTCGGTGTTAAAAAAAGAGTGTAAGTAACTGATAACATATGAAATTACATGGAAGAGTCACATTCTTGTATTAATGACTTACTGTAATGTGACATATTGGGGTTAAGTAGATGGAGACTAAAAAAGGGTGTAGTGGCATAATTGTGCTAAATAGGAACGAACTTTGATACTCTTCACAGCCTCTTGTCCCCATGACCAGATAAGATTAATTGATTCATAAATGTCAAATTAGAAACATATATTCCACCTCGTATAATCTGCTACATTAGATGTCTTTCTGCCTTAACATGTCACTGTGATGTTCACATTGAATTCTGAACCTTTCTCCATGTTTAGGTTAAGAGCGGCCGTGTCACATATTTGCAGCTTGCTGAAGATTGGATTCTGAGGTCATGTAAGGTTCTTGAGCAACCATACTCTAGGAGTGCTTATGCCAGTCTAATAGAGGAAGCAGAGCAATTTCTTTGGGCTGGTGCTGAGATAGACCTAGTAAGGCTTAGCTGTTATGGGTATCTCTGGCTTCGTCTTGAATGTAACTAAGCGTGCTTTTATTTTCTTATGTAGGTCAGAGAAATGCAGAATAGATTGATTCAAGCACGAAATTGGGCAAAAGCTGTGAGACGATGCCTTTCTAAAATTAAGTTATGGTCCAGTAACAAAAATCGTGACACAGATAGAGTGTCCATGGATGATGTCAATGAGTTGCTCGGGTTAAGTCCTGCTCCTTGCAAAGAACTAGGCCTCCTTCTGTTAAAGGTTGGGGCATTTCCAGTAATTTAAATCACTTGTGTTTTATTGAATTCCATGAATTGAATGGATGGGGCTGAAGGACTTCTCAAATTTATTTGTAGGATTATCTAGAAGAAGCTAATGAGCTGATCCAGGAAATTAATTCTGCTCTGGAATCATGTTCACGAAATTCTGTAAGAAAGCTACTATGTGTCCTTTTCATCTGTATTCTTGTAGCTCGTGGATACTGTAATCATTTTGTGGTTATTACCACATTTTCTATACATGATTTTTGCTAACTGGTACATGGATGAATATTCCTGTTTTATCGACAGTCGACATCTAAAAGTTCAGTTATCTTGTTTTACTTCTCTCTTAACTTAATTGCCTCTAAATTATTCCAGGTGGTTGATTTGGAGATCTTATATGAGAAGACAGTTGACTCACCCATTCATGTAAAGGAAAGTGAGAAACTAAGACTCAAGCTATCGGCAGTTAAGGTACATTTTACATATATTTTATTTGATATTGACACCTGAACCTAAGAAATTATCCTCATAACACTCTAGTGATGTTGAGTCTGAGGTAAAAAAAATATATCATAGTGAATATAGTGTTAGTCTTGAGGCAGCACAGTCTCTGCCTTAAACTTCTATTCTTAGACCCAAACAAGAAACTGGAATTTGGTGCATTGATTTTTCATGTTAAGGATGGTTTTATAGTCTATGATCCTTATATTCATGAATGCCATGTGATAATGATTTTTCTGTATGTGTTTGCTGTCTTATGGTTATGGAAGTTAATTCAACTGGCAAAGTTTTTTCCTTATTTAAATTTCAAGTATTTTATTTGTCTTGGCTCTTCAATGCACATTTGTCTGTATCAGGTTTGGTTGGGCAATGCGAAAAAGTGCATTTTTCAGGAAGCTCCCTCATCAGTTGAGGTAGATATGCTCTACAAGCTGGAGTCAGAGGTAATTAGAAATGTTATGTCACTTGCTTTTTAAATCTCTATATCACTTGCTGTTTACTTCTCTTGACTGCATCCATAACACTGGTTCTATCTTTGTGATATTGAGTTGATGGAATGCTGTCTTACATTTTTAATTTCCAGATTTTGGAGTTACAATTTCAGCTTCCTGAAGCTGAGCTGCTCAGTGATTTAACTAGGCAAGTTAAATCTTGCCGGTCTAAGTGTAATGAGATTTTAGGAGATTTGGTTGGCCTAAAGGTAGTGCTTGCATACTTTCTCTCTTTCTCTCATTTTTTTTCCCTTTTCCCAGCATGTATCAATATTCTGCAACTTCTTTCGCTCAAACAGATTCTTTTTGTGGGCAGAAAGTCGAATTGTTTCTCAGTGAATGGGAGAATTTTCCTGTAAAGGTTCCAGAGCTTGAACTTTTAAAGAAATATTACAATGATACAGTGTCGTGGATGTCACGTGTTGATCGTGTGCTTATGAATGTTCATGAACTGGAAGATCAAGAAAAAGTAGTTGATGAGTTAAAATGCATCCTGAAGGATGAGTCATTGCTTAAAATACAAGGTGAGTGAGTTCATAAATTATGGTTCATGTTCTCAGATCACCATTTTGTTTATTTCCCTCGTTCCTTTTAATGTAGTCAATGAGTTACCTCGTGTTGAGCTCGAGCTTCAGAAAGCGCACTGCCGTGTGAAAGCATTTAGGGTAACTTCATGTTTGATCAAACTTTGATGTGCTATTGTCATTTCATTTCCATTGAAATCTGTTTTTTCTGCTTTCGAGAACTTGGCAAATTAACATGTTCGATGCAGGGTCTTAACACTCAAATGTCCATGGATTTCACTCAGCAACTTATGTTGGAGGCAGCCAAGTATGCTTCTCTTTGTTTCTTTCTAATTAGGGAAGCCCTTGCTTTGAGTGAATTTATCGTTTTTACATGAAGTCAGTGTTGAAATTTTAATTGCACTATTCTTCAGACTACAAATCGAGGAAGAGAAGATTTTTGCTGATATTTCCCAAAGACATGCTGCTGCCATATGCTGGGACGGAAAAGCGAAACATGTTCTTGCTACTAGGGCGCGTATGTCTGACTTTGAGGATCTTTTGAGGTTTTGCTTTAAAAAATTTCACCGTCTAAATTGTTTTAGTTATATACTTGTCTTTTAATATTTTAATACCAACACCTTCAGGACTTCTGAGCACATTGGAATTATTCCATCATCCCTTCTTGATGTGGAGCTTGCAGTATCAACAGCTAAATCTTGGTTAACAAAAGCTAAACCATTTCTATATCGTGACTCGTCTAACTTCGTAGCATTGGATTCTTGCTTGGAAGTTGATGTTTTGAAGGTTGATTTTCTTAACGTTTATACTATATCATTAAATGGCCACTACTTCTGCATTTGCTTGATGATTTTATCATTGTACAGGAGCTAGTGTTGCAATCAGAAGAGCTGAATGTACATTTTGATGAATGTTCATTGCTTCAAGAACTCTTGAAGAAGTGTGTGGAATGGGTAGATGATGCCAGAACTTTACTACAGAATGTGGAGCGCTTATGGAAAACTGACATTACAGATGAGGTCACCACTGGCTCTATTATAACCAGACTTGAATGTCAAGTCCTCTCGATGGAGACTGCCATCAAAAGTGGTATTTCTCTTGGTGTTAGGTTGAACATGATTCCAAAACTTGAAGATGCTTGTTCAACATTCAAATGGGGCATTAGTGTCCTTTCGTTTTGCACCAGTGTTCCCAGTTGCCAGGTGATTCTCCTGTAGTTTGTCAGTTTCGAAATTGAAGCTGCGCTTTATGTTACAAATTTTCTAGAATGCGTGTTGTAACGAGCTCCCGAGTTATCTGACCTGGTGTAAATTGTTTTATTTTCTGTAAATGTGATCATACACTGAGAAAAACCAGTATGAATCTTCAAGGCTTTCGGTTTTCTTAATTCTTATTGGTTGTGGTGAAGTATAATGAAGATATACACTACATATGTACATTTGTGGTTGGAGTATCATCTAAAGGGCCTTTTTTCTTTTGGTTTTAGGAAGTTGAGGTGATATTGGATGCTGCTGCCAGTCTTCCTGTAATAGATAAATCTGTTGCTCTGTGGACTGCATTGATTGATGGCTTAACTTGGCTAAAGAGCTCTCTTGAAATTCTTGTTCCATGTAATCGTCAGCATTTTCAAGTCAGAAGTGTTGAGGAAGTTCTTGTTCTGTCTAAGGTCTCTATCTTAGAATCTCTCTCTTTTTTTTTTTCATCTGTTTATTGGAGAATACAAATCCACTTGTACTCTTCTTCGGTTCAAAATGCTTGTTCCGTCTAACATTTTAAATTTGCAGAAAATTTGCATCTCATATCCAATTATTACTGGTCGTCTTCATGATGCAGTTGAAGATCACAAGTAAGCGTTGATTTCTTACTTGAGGATGTATATTCGATAGATCTCTAGGTGCGCCTAATATAAAAATGGTGGCCATAATTATCATATTGTTTTTTATTCCACCAAGATGATAGAATTGTCGTGTGTGCACACCAATATCTTCTTTTTCAGTTGCTACATGAATGTTAGACGTGAAAAGGTGAAAGCAATTATTAAGATATTGGGTGAAAAATTTGTGCCACTTTCAATGTTATGAAAAATTGTACATAGTAGCTTCATTCTCATGGTTTCTTTAGCTATCAATGGTTATGTATCATATTCTTCATATCCATGGCATCTGATTCTATAGATTTCAGTTATAGGAATTTTGGGTTCCTCGCAGTGCTTTCTTATTTGTCCATGTATTTGTGCTGTTGCTTTATGTTCTAGGACCCTACTCTTTCAAGTTATTTCCCTAATTTGTTAGTTTATGTTTAAGTCTATTGTTATGCAGGCATGTGTATATCTATTAGATGGTCATTATATTCATTTTCTTAGGTACCAAGAGATCTTTAGTGATGTTCTTTTATGTCTTATAGATTGTGGCTGCAGAAAGTTAATCTATTTTTTGCTGTCGACTCTGAGGATCGATCTTATGATGTTCTGATGCAGCTAAAGGTAATTATTTTTCCTTTTTTGGGTAGGATATGATTTGAGTTGGCCATACATTTCAGGTTATAATGTACCGTGCTTCATTTTAATGACGCATCCTCGATATTTTAAGTTTTACCTCTTTGTTGACTCCCTCATCATTGAATTGACAATTCGAGCATGCAGGAACATGGAAGTTCGAAGGCATTCAGTTGTCTAGAGCTAGAGAAGGTTCTTTACGAACATGAAAAGATTCAAAAGTGGGTACAGCATTGTGCAGACATAATTAAGCCTCCATCTGCAGAAGAAGATTCACTTCCTAGTGCTCTTGTCGAGGTCTCTGCAAATTATTGTTTTTTTGTGAATAAATTTGTGGTTAGCCTATTTGCCTTTTTTTTAATATCTGAAGGAAGCTTTTAACCTTTTGTGCAGTTACAGAACTCTCTTGAGAGATCTTCTGAAGTGTATGGTAATTATGAGGGAAAAGAATCTAGAAACTTATGCAAATGCTGCTCTAATGCTAGCGAGGATCAAGAACTTTTGAGCTGTTCTATTTGCAAGGACAGGCAAGTTCTTGCAATGTACATAACTGTTGAATACAGTTGTACTGAAATTTTTCGAAATGGACTTATAGGTTCTTATCTATTAGACTATTAGTAGAGTTATCAGTTTGAGTCAATTCTAACTTTGGCAGAACTTGCTAGAACTGATTNCTAATGTGCCTTTTATTGCACAGCTTTCATTTGCAGTGTGCAAAAAAATCATTTGAAGATACACTTGCAACGATTTGCCCTTATTGCAATTTTATAAGCGGCTCCAGACTTAATCGCGGTGGATTTGGTTCTCTGGTCTGTTATCGATAATTTCTTTACTCTATAAAGTTAATGCTCGAAAGTGTCGATTTCTAAACTTTTTTTTTTCTCCATGTTTAGAAAACCTGGAAGAAGCATCTTGCATTAGATAAGCTTAAAGTTCTCCTCAATGAAGCCAATGATTTATGTCTGTGGTAAGAACACTCCCATCTTGATGTGACATTTTGGATGGGCATTAAATATAATACAAACTAATATATGCCATTTTTGTGTTTTATGAATTATGAATAAAGTGGATCTATTTAGTTATGTGTTTTTTTTTTTTTTTTT